TAAAATGCCTTGCCTTGCCTATTGGTATATTGCCTGGCATTTTTGGCTTAATGTCATAAATGTTTATTTGCAAATTTTGAGTTGTTTGTTTATTATTCTCACTTTAAAAGGTGAACATAAACAAGTGAGGTGGGAACATTTTAGTTTTTATTTAGTTGCATAATAATTCTGCACACTAATATAGTTGCCCAATAATTGTGCACTGCACACATATCCTCCAATAAAGTTTTTCAAATGAGTCTTACAAGATTGTCCATTTAGAACTCACCTGACTGGGCTTCAACGCTGTTTAATTGTTGTTGTATTTGTTCTGAGTTAAATTAGCAAGTGTCACATTTAAGGACATATTTTGATTGACATGGTGATTGATTAGGCTTTAGGAGATTATAAGTGCTGGTGGTAAGGGATATCGGCTCTGTGCTCCTTGAACACTCCAGTAACAGTGGGCTAGTAAATACAAATGCAAACTATATTCCATGCAGCCCTTCAGGAAATGCTCCCCTGCAGTAGCCATTACAGCCATTCTCCAAAGCATTTTTAGAAACTTTTAATTTCTCCAGGGCTTTCAAATTGCCTGTTTAGGTTGTGCAGAGGCATTGTTCCAAGCATCTATAAAATACCACTGTGGCCCATGCAATGACCATATGGAGCTCCATAGCATTGTTTCATCCTAATTGCCCCCTTCTACAAGTGTCGATTTCATTCAGGAGAATACAAGGACCAAGGGCAGAAAAGAAGAATGGATGAGACGAGAGGGGGGGCTGAGGGTGAGGAGAGCTGACATTCATCAGAGTTCTCCCGACAGATGGATGAGGATACTGTCGTACTACACTTTGTTCAGCAGATGAGCAGCATCACTCTCCCTGGATTTCATTTGGCCTTGCTGGTCTTGTTAGAGTGTTGCTTCTCTCTTCAACATCGCAGCCAAGGACCCTGACTCTTAATTTTAGCAGCTGAAGAGCTCCAGATCAATAACCATCAGTGTTTGGTTTTGGCCCGCTGCGCCGGTCAAATGGGGGGATTCCCCCTCCCTCCCTCCTCTACTGCTCCCCCACCTTTATAGAAGGTGTCATTTAGTTTTGTCCAATTTCTCAGAAATCTTGTCAATTCTGGGTCAGTTTAAGGTATACTGCTGGGATGTCTGAGAATTACACAATTGTTCTTCACGTAATTATTCTGCTGCTTTCAGCACATACAGTAGACACACTGATTGTTTTCATGTCCGGATATGTCAGAAGCACTATTGCAAATCTATCTGTTTAGCAGAGGTGGAAGAAGTAATCAGATCTTTCAAGTGAAAGTAGAATTACTGCATGGTAAACATAGTCCCTCATGCGGTACCTTGGCTCTCAGCCTCCGAGGAGCACTGCACACTGCTGGGAATGCCTGATATTCACAACTGATCCACTGTTTGGAGCCAGAGAGGGTTTGAAACTTTAGTTGTCTAACCAAGGCAGCAGCGAGACACCAAAGCACTGCCGGACACTTACAAGCAACGGTGCTTTTGAAAAGGGGAAGCCCGAGTGGATCTAGAGTTTAACGAAGAAGTGTGAAGGAAAACGCTCCACAATGGTTTTTACAGAAATACGACTGGACAGACTGGACTTTCAGCATTAGCCTCCATGGTGATAGAACAGGACTTATTATTGGAACACTCAGATCATCTGTACAACAGAGTAACTGAACTTTGTTAGGGAGAGAAAGGAGGATGGATTGTGTGTACAAATAATCAAATGTATTGGTGAAAATAGGCTATAATGATTTTTCTTTAAATCTTTTGATATTTTCTTGACATTTCATTAAGTAATATATTATATATTATTATATTATATTATTATATATTATTCTGCTAGAGATGAAGGATGTGGCTGCAGCGAAAGTGACTTTCTTGCTTTGAAATTGCATGAATTCTCGCTACATTAGATACCTCTCTATGATGCAATGCCCCGTTATACTGCGTTTCTGTATAATATTGCTCAATACAAATTGTTGTCTCCCAACCTAAAACCCAAAGATGAAATCATGCACACGAAGTGCTAGCCCTGTAGAGCCCAAATGTTGTGTTACAATACTTTAATATTTTACAAGCATAAAAGCTTGACAATATTTTGTAATAATATAATACATTTTGACAAGTAATAATAGTATATAGAATATTATTAAGTTATTTGTATTAACTGTGTTCTTTGCTTAAGCTGCTTTACAATACATTGAAATCAGTCAGTTGCAATGCAAAGCCAGCACCATGGAAATGCAAATCATCCTGTTTATCCTTTATCGTCAATTTAAAGAGCTAGTTTTGTTGTCGTGCTCAGATCGTCCCTGCAGCCGTTCTGTGAAAGACTGCGCTGTTCATACGGATTTTGAATCTGCTCACAAAGACCTGCAGAGATCTTTGGAGCCTGCTGAATGTGCATGCTCTCATTTGAGGTGGTCAGGCTGGGTGTAGATCCCTGTGCAGCTTCCTCTCCCTTGTTGTCCAGATTCCTCTTTCTGTGTTCTAAGCCTTTTCTGCTCCACTGCCAATACATGTGCATGTGTTAAAGATGGCTTCTGTTTCATCCTGAGGTGCTCTCCTGGGGGCAGATGTTCACCCCCACCTCTCCCTTCTCTTCTTGCTGGGGTAATTTGCAGAGGTAATCCACACATGGCTGGATACTCTCACCACAGCCTGGTAAAGGTAGATGGGATTAGGCTCATGGTGAAGGGTATTGGGCATTTCACAAGCCCCTTTTTTACCAATTAAGATGAACTTGAGTTGGACTTGTACGCACTCTTATATCAGTACTTGTATCAAATGAACCAGCCCGCAGATGGCAACATGCACGCCTGGGTGAGCCGCTTTAATCCTGCGTTTTTATTTTATTTTGGTCAATGTCAGCCAGAGGTTAACCTGGTTATAGAATGATTGCCTCACCCCGGCTGTATTTATCTCACTTTACCCCACAAGCCCTGGAGATTGAGCTGAAGTACAGAGCCTGTATTTAGTCTTTATTTAAGAAGATTGGTGGTGGCTACCGACAGACCTCTGCAGTCAGCCCGTGTTCACCGATGGCCAGCTGGATCAATACAACACAATTGGGTTTTCCAATCTGCGGTCTTTGGGAACGCAGCCACAGCACTTACAGGGTGATCGCCTCTGATCAAATCTTCATCAGGATCTATTGACAGGTTCATTTGAGCACCATCCTTCTACCCTTACTACACTGTAAAGAAATGGGACACAAAAGCCCTCTTTAAAAAGTGTTCTGGCAGCTGATGGACAAGCATCTCATTCATTCACCAGCTAACACTGATTTTATTTTGATTTGCTTAATTTAAAGGTTTATGTTTTTATTTTATCCTGCATGGGGTAGTAGTTGTTTAATTGACTGTCACCCCCTCACCCTTTGAAGCAAAGCTCTTCCAAGCTTCTAGAAAAAATATTCAATAAAGCAGCAAGCGAGAGATTTGCTTTTGAAAGCAAGGCCTTAAAGTGACCTGGCAGCAGATAAAGGGACTGTGTACATTTCCCAAATCATTTCATATTTCATTTCTAAACAAGCTGCAGGGGTATTGAATATCACACGCTAATGCACGGCGGTCACATGTGCATTTGTGGAATTCTTTGGACACTCCACCAGGCGCTTTTGATGTCCACGTTTTCTCCCTGTCTGAAGTGGAGCTGCTCTTAAGAAAGCCATAATCCTGGCGGTATTGCTGTGGCGAGTGCTCTGCTGGCAGAACCTTTGGCAGCGGCATGCGTGACTCCACTCATTTTCCCTGTTGTTGTTTTACCTGTTTTGTATTTTTGCTTGACCCCCTTTCTCTGAATTCTCCAGAGAAAGAGAGAGACTATTGAAATGGGGGGGATTGGCTAAAGGTGGTTTCCCAGAGAGGAATGCCCAGTGAAGCCCCCCCCTGGGAACTGAGTACGTCTCCTCATCTCATTCTGCAGCTGCATTTAATAAACTGTAGGATTCAATTGGCCTGGCTTATTGACAGTAATGTTCATTATGAACCAAGAATCTTCTTTTTTTATACTCCATTCTATATTGAAAATGCGACATGAGGTTATCATCTTGAAATAAGTGAACACTTCTCCCAAATGTTGTAGTGTTCCTTTAATTCAGCTTCTCAAAGCAGACTTCTTCTTTTTTCCATCTCTGTTCTTCTTCCTCAAACTGTATACATCCCTCTTTTCATCCTGCCTTCTATGTTCTCCCCTCTCTCCCCCCGTTCTGCCTCCCTCTCTGAGTAAGAGGGCTTCCTGCCTCCAGTGAAGTTATTCCTCAGTGATATGTCCCACTTAGGGACACAGTGCTATTCACACAGGCTGTCACATAGAGCAGTGATTTTCAACCACTGTGCTGTGAGAGATCGGCAGGTGTGGCATGGGAAATTGTCCAATTTCAATGTATCTGTCCCCAAAAATATGATCTAGTCGCTGCAATTAATATCCAACACGGCTCCCAAGGTCCTAAGCAAGCTTAAAAGTCATCTCTCAATGAAACAAACAACCCTCATGGCTTTCTGAAAAAAAAGGAGGTGTTACTGAAGTTTACAGCTAGAACAGTGGTGTAAGTATACAAAGTACATCCCTTTACTGTAATGCAGCCTTTCCAACCAGGAGACACGCATGTGATGCAACAATATCCAAAATATAAGAAGATATATAGACTCCTATCACAACATCCATATCGTATTGATTCAGCACTACATCCAGCACTACATCCACTACAGCAGTTTTTTTTAAAAGAAATAAACAAATGACTTGGTGAACAAAGAATAAACTAAAGCCCTAAATAACTTGGCAGTTAGTGCACATGTTCGTCTATCTCTATACTACTCACCAAAGTTGTAATCTCTACTAAATGAAATGTCTACAGCTTTCACTTCTCTCTAATATTAAAATGATACTGAATTACTGGTGAAAATGTACATATACATGAAAGGTATTGGATCTAAAGTTAACCGTTAGATTCCCAGGTCCTCATGTTGTATATGTTTCTCTATTTCAGAGCTCTCAGATGTGGAACCCAACGTTTTTCTCAGGCCCTTCCTCGAGGTGGTCCGCTCTGAGGACACCACTGGACCAATCACAGGCCTCGCCCTTACTTCTGTCAACAAATTCCTCTCCTACGGCCTTATAGGTAAGAAATGCTTTTCTTTTCTGGCCTGTCTCTTTCAATACTGTGTGTTTTGTATGCATGTTTATAGACCATATTGACCATTTTTAGGAAAAGGAAAAATGCCAAGCCAAGTACTAGAGATTGCAAGCTTCTTAACTGGTGTTAGCTAGGTAAGTACGTTTTTTAATTAACAGTAAGTTAAAATCAATGTATACATCATCCTGGCACTCTCAAGCATGCAGAAGAATTTTCTGTTGTTTATGGTCGGATCAGTGTAGGAATGCCAGGAATGAATTTGTCATCATGGGTGCAGAAGCGGGCTGGTTCTGGCGTACAGTCAGGACTGCCTGTCCCCATTAGCCTCATCATGGAAGTATGGCCCAGTGTCTGCCAGTTGTTTTGTTAAGTGTGAAATGAGCATGCATTACCAGATGTTGGTCTAAATAGCAGGGGTGGACTGAATGTTACAATGCTGTCAACAGAAACAGCTGCAGCCATTGCTTAGCTAACTGAGCGTTTGAGCTTACAGGAATACTGGACATTACTACAGTGATGGTGATAGGTGCACGGCCCTTGTTCTGACGCATTCAAATCCAAAATAAATCACATCTCAGCATATTTGTATCCAGTTGACATACCCTACTTATTCCCTGGACTCATTTTAGAAGTGTGTGTTTGTGTGACACCGTATCCTAGATTTCCTAAACTTGGCTGTCATTTCCTCTCGGCAACAATCGGCAACAGCTGATCTGCTCTGAGCACATCCACACACCATTAGCTTTCTGTCTCTCATTCACACACTCTCACCGGGCCACACATTACGACTCTTTAAAAATTCCCAGCTGACCTTCGGCATCTTCACATGGTGGGCTACTGCAAGCTGGGGTCCTCATAACATTTGCATTTTTGGGTCCTTTTAAACAGTTCCTACGTCTTTACTACGTTGAAGTGAGCAAAAATAGACATTAGGATTTGATGTTGGAACTGAGCTTTCTTTAAAAAAAGAAAAGCCAAGCATGTATATGTGAAACCATTTCTGGAACAAATGGGCTTCTGCCTGCCAAGGCTCGCACAGATGTACACACAATATGTGTTCAAAGATCACCTCACAAATGGCCCCCTGTGTCCCAGAGCCTCTGTCTGTCACTCCAGAGCTGACACCAGCTCCCTTAATCCCCCCCACCCCCACCCCGACGCCATCGCTCCCCCAGCAGCAGATCATCAGCATTGTTCCAAGGGCCGCACCATTGTGCCGATGCTGCACGCTCGCTCTCAAGCACAGCTCCTGTTGTTTTAAGAAGAAGAAATAGTCGGTAGTTTGAGAACTGTATTAACAGTCTGACTTTAGTTGCTCAAACAGTACAGACTGTTAACACCCCCTCTTCTCTTGTTTAACTTAGCCATGCATCCGTTTCTTTGGTAGTGTGGGAGGGATATGATGTGATATTTAATGCAAGTTCAAAGAGAATTGAAACCCGATCTGAAGCATGTGTCAGAGACTCCGGAGGAGATCACAGATATCGTTCCTCATGAGAGCACAGTGACTGGGTTCAGCATTTACACCAAGCAGTATTTCATATATAATATATATATATATATATCACGGTTCGTACGGTCATTGAAAACCTGGAAAAGTCATGGAAATTCAAAATGTAAATTCCAGGCCCTGGAAAAGTTATGGAAAACAATATTTTTCCCAAAGTTTTGGAAAAGTCATGGAAATGTAACTAAAGTTGCGTCAAATATAATTTACATTTTATCTAATCGCCGAAATAATCTAAGGTCTCAAGCTGTTATGTGCCATCATGACACGCATGGTGTTATTTTTTAATATATGAAGCACGAGCTGTGTGCTCGAGTCTTCCTGCCTGTCGGGCCCATGGATGTATAATAAGAACTGGATACAGCGTGGGAGGCGGGGCCTCATTCATTCCTATGAGAGTTGCTCAATGGCGCATGATGATAAAATGGCCCAACTTTTGAGAGAGTGAAACGTCACAGATTACCCAGCATGCCTGAGAAGTACCCGTATGTGCACTCATAGAGCATGCGCAACTTTAACCACGCCGCCCAAAAGGCTCGTTCACATTAAGCACGTGAATTTGCGTACACGTAACAGCACCGCGCGTTCATGACAGCATGGTACTGGATTTATATTAACGAGGCGGCAGTTAGCAGCTAGCGGCTAGCTAGTAAATTATGCTAAGTTACACATCAATCGTTATGTACTTTTATATTACGCTGACATCAGGATCTAGTGATATCCAAGCAACAGAGCTTCATTTAGCATGATACTTGTGTGGGTTGTACATGAAACCACTTGGTAATATATAAAAATGTATGTTGAAGCCTGTTATGATCAATTGTGAGTTAAAACTTTATCTAAAAAGTAAAGCTGATGATGGATTACTGTGGTGGAGTTCAAATAACAATAGCCTATTTCTTTTTGAAATGTGATGGAGTAAAAGGATAGTAACTGTGATTATTCATGTTAAGTAGCCCACAAGTAACTAAAACAATTGCAAGTGCAATAAGAAGCTACAGGAACGTTAATCTAACGTCGGTAATATTAACTTTATTTAATACAACATTTACGGTACAAGATTTACATCATACAGCCCATGTAGTATAATATTTTACAAATGATGAATTACAGCAAACATGTGCAATATATCCATTATTACAGCTCCGTGGGATGGCAGTAAGGCGATATGGTCCGTTGTTATTGTGCATCCATGGGTAAAGATAAACGCATGTAGTGCTGAACACGTAACATGAACGTGCCGGGCGGCGCGGTCCCGTGGGTTAGATGCGCGTTCATAATGCCGAGGGAAATAACTCTCAGAATAACATTATTAGCACATTTTTACAACTTGAGGAACGAATGTTTTTAATAAGGGCTATACAAACGTTCATACTGGGTAGTTTATTTAGTTTAAAAAAATTATCCAACGAGTTACAGACCACTCTTTCCCAATGTAAGTCAATGGGAAAAAGTGTTTCCGGGCCCAGCAACCTAAAGGAAGTGTAGTACCGCCGTTTGACCAGCACGAATATTCTCATCAGACTCCGGCGCACTTCCTGGGGGCTTGGTCGGGCCGGCTGAACTCTGCTGCTCCGGGTCGCATCTATCGTTTTTCCAACCCAGTTTAGATTGAACCACGCCTACTTCCGCATTACGCAAGGATCGACGTAGCTCTACGCGATAGCGTCATAGACTTCTTCTTCGGCAGTTATAGCGGTCGCGGAAAAGCAGGATATTGAATAGTTGTTTTTAGTCTTTCCAAAGGATGTGTTGACTGAAAGTAAACGATCCTGTAATCACAGCCATATCGAAGAGTCCTGAGATTGTATTACTGGTGTTTTATCATCTATAAATAGCCTGTGTGTATCCTCAAATGTCGTTTTCAGGACAAACAAAAGACGTTTTAAATATCTTATCAGCTGGTGTAAGTGCAGAATATTGAATATAACCTTGACTATTACCGTGTACTTCATTTATCTGACAGCATTATTTAATGATACTATTTTATATATATATATACACACATTTATTCATTTATAAACATATATATATATATATATATATATATATAAACAAAACAACACAATATAATAAAAACAGTTACAATAATAACATAATATGGTATGATCAATTCTACCCTTTTGTTTTTGCTCCATTTCAATTAAAAGATATTTTTCAAAATCAATATCGGTGGGGTTCTTTTGCAAAGATAATCAATAACACCACCTGACAGTTGTTGCAGATTATACAGCATACTTGTTACTTACACACACATGTGCGATGGTCCCAAAAAAGCCAAAATCTGCACTGTAAAAAATATATACATTTATTAGGCACTCTGAATAAGGGTTGACTGTGTAATAATCATGCCTGTTATTAATGTCAAATGTTATATGTTGTATTATATAACAAAATAGACATTTATAACATATTATAAATGTCTATCTTTAAATAAAATATTAAATAGATACCTTTACATCCTAAACAGAAGGTCAGAACGTTAATATGTTACATGACAAACAAAAAACGAAACATTATAGGCTATATATACTGTACAGATGTTTGCTAATGTATCCCTCTTATATCCATCAGGAATTAATATTAAATGATGAATTAACATTACCTCAGCACTGCATAAGTGTGGTCGTCAGTCATATTGACAAAGAAGCACTATTATATTGTATATTAATATGCGGCGTTTAAAAGGACGGTATTTCGCTTGTCAGATTCAGATTTCGCGGGTGTGCCGCGTCTATGACGCTATCGCGTAGAGCTACGTCAATCCTTGCGTAATGCGAAAGTGGGCGTGGTTAAATCTAAACTGGGTTGGAAAAACGATAGACGCCTCCGGGTCAGCTACATTATCTACGGTGCGTTCGTTAACTGTGCACTGTGGCTAGGGTTGGGAACCGAAACTCGGTTCCAGATGAGAACCGATAAGAAAATGCCGGGTACCGGGTACCCATACAAAATACACAATTTCGGTTCTGCTTAACGGTTCCTAAACGCGGTAGACCCTGTATTCCAGCGGGTCCGTCTGCACCGCGGTGCTGCGGTGACCCGGTGGAATACAGGGCGGACCTGGAGAATCACAGAACGGCCGGTCGTCAGCGGGCCGTTGACGGCCGGCTCGGTACACTGACGGCCGGCACCGCCCTTCATTTTTTTAAACGGCATCATATAAATTGCGCTGACAGGCGACAGAGGTCCACAGTTGCCCCGCAGCGATGCTCCCCCGCCCTCCCGTAGACATTTCACGAGCTCAGTCACTTCATAACACCAAAGATAGGTCGCGGTAAACACTCTGAAGTGAGGCTCCACTACACTAAAAAAGAAAAAGAAAAGGCAAAGTGTAATGCCTGTTAATAGCTTGCCACAGGCATAGCTCAGTTAAAATAAAGCACAGCTATTGTGCAATACATTTGTATTGCATGTATATTTTTTAGTAACAATTTCAGTTAAAGCTTTTAAGAATTCATATATTTTTGTTATCTAA